TGTAATCCCAGCACTGTGGGAGGCTGAGGAAGGAGAATTGCTTCAGCTCAGGAGTTTGAGACTTTCCTGAGCAAGAGTGAGAGCCCTGACTCCTAAAAAAATGAAAAACCTAGCCAGGCACTGCAGGGAGCACCTGTAATCCCAGCGGCTCCAGAGTCTGAGGCGGGATGCCCACAGCCCAAGGCTGAGGTTGCAGTGAGCTATGATGCCTTTGCACTCTGCTCAGGGCATATGGTGGGACTTAACAACAACAAAATAAAAAATGAGCAAGGAAGTAAAAACATTTTTTTAAAAAAGAGCTAGTAAAATCAGCACTGAGGGGATTTGTCAGTGATAAACAAGGAAGGTCTCTGTGGCCCCATTTTTATCTGTGAGAACCTCTGGGGAGCTGCCAGCAGCACAGATTGCAACCTAAGAGGGTTTTCAAGGTTGAGGCTGTTGCATCATTGCATAGACAACTATACAAATGCCTGATTTTTAAAAGCAAGTCAACCCTTGAAACTCAGATTCCTAGCCCCTGCATCTTACCCACATCCTTACCGTCCAGAGGTGTCACTGCGACAGCAGCTACAGAGCCTGCAACACAGCCTGACATAAAGGAATGAGCGAAGGAGGCCTTTCCAGTAAGCTCGCTGAGCCCCAGGTTGTTAAGGTTGGCGAACAGTGGGAAGTAGATGATGGAGAAGGGAATGTCTCTGCAGAAGGGGAGGAAGAAACACTGAGCTGTGGGCGGCTCCAGCTTCCACGCAGGGCCAGACAGTGAGCCTTTGTTACGAGCTTTGGGTCAGAGGTGAGCCAGAGAGACCTGTTCTTACCCTGACACCCCCGATAACAGGGTGATGGAAGCATAAGAGAAAAAGCTGTTTGCCTTCTGTCCTTCCCAGATCATTCCTTTGCCCTACAGCAGCCTCTTAATGAATAGTCAGACAGGGATTGGAAAACTAAGGGGTCCTATACAAGTGGGGATAAGCCAAGATTAGGTCTGGTAACAGCCAGGGGTACGGTAAGCTGAGGGGCATATTCACACATACACTTGTAAATTTTCTGCAGTTATTTGTAAATGGAGCATGAGATGCTTTGGGGCTCAAAACCCATCCTCAAATGGGCCTGGTTACTGGAGAAGGGACTAAAAACTTTGGTCTTCCAGGTATCCATGGTGTGTGACCATGGCTAGTTACTGACAACACAGCAAACATGGAAATAGTTTGCTAACCTGAGCTTGAATATTCTGGGAAGAATTCAGAGGCAGGTCAGGGCAGCAATCCTCTGGCCCTCCATTCCCTATCTATGCACTGGGTCCTGGGAAACAGGACTGGTGATGTCCCAAGGTCAAGAAAAAAGGCTCACCTGAGGAGAGTGGCACCCAGACCCTTGTAGAGACCAGCCAGGCCCTGAGTGCGAAGCAGCTCCCAGGCAATGAGGGTGGCAGAAGGGCGCTTGTGGGTGGAAGCCGAGTCGGTTGTATAGCACCTGGAGGAGGGAGGTGCTGAGGCTGAACCCTGGGGATGGATAGCTGGAAGGAAAGGACAGCCTCCATCACAACCCAAGCCCCAGCAGGTGTGGCTAGACCTTCATGAGTATGGCTCCATGCCCACCCCTGGGACAACTCAGAGGCAAGGCTGAAGATTGTTCTACATTAATTGCCAAGGAAATCATCTTATGGTCCTTATTGAATGATAATGACCTAATGTTAGGTATATTTATTATCCTGCTGCATGGGATGCTTCTCCAGAGCGCAGCCACTGCTGCCCAGCCTGCTGCCGGGATGCATGTGCAGTACCCCTACATTCCTTACCCCAGTTAAACTTTTTGGTCTGTCTTCCATTTCTTTTTTTTTTTTTAGAGACAGAGTCTCACTTAATCTCCCTCCGTAGAGTGCCATTGCATCACACTGCTCACAGCAATCTCCAACTCCTGGGCTCAGGCGATTCTCTCAGAGGTCTCAGCCTCCCAAGTAGCTGGGACTAAAGGCGCCCGCCAAAACGCCCAGCTATTTTTTTGTTGCAGTTTGACTGGGGGCCGGGTTTCAACCTGCCAACCCCGATATATGGGGCCGGCGCCCCACTCACTAAGCCACAGGAGCCGTGCTGTCTTCCATTTCTGAACTATCTCTGAGCCTATGTAGATAGTTTCACCCTAAAGCATATTGGGACCTAGGAACCCCCCTGTGTTCTGCCACACTTGCCTTCAATCTCCCAGACCCTCCTCCTAAGCACCCTTGTATTAGTGAGACAGGCTTTTTAATGCCCTTTGCCATGGATAGAATTTCTTTTTTTTAAGACAGTCTCATTTTGTTGCCCTTGGTAGAGTGCTGTGGCTTTATAGCTCACAGCAACCTCAAAGTCTTGGGCTTAAGCGATCCTCTTGCCTCAGCCTCCCAAATAGCTGGGACTCTAGATGCCCACCACACACCCAGCTATTTCTTTCTTT